ATATAGAGCAGTAGGTAATGTGAAAAGAGGGTAGTTCAAATTCTTGCAATGAAATTCACCATACAGACTATTAGGGGTATAATCACATAACTTTATATGGGTAACTATGTAATCACTCAGAAGTTTTTTGGGAAATGCAAAACCATACAGAGCAGATGGTAATGTGAAAGAAGCTAGTTTAGCACAACATGATATGGTAAGTAATAACTAATTATGGTAATGCAAACATACAGAACAGTAGGTAGTGTGAAAGAGGGTAGTATCGCATAACGTTATATGGTAGCTAAGTAATAACTAAACCATATAAATTAAGTGGTATGTATCTCGAAAGATATCATCAAAATCACTTTTCAGCTAATCAAAATGAGTTTCATTAACTTTGTGTCAAAATGTTTCGAATACCTTTGGAAGTTTATAAGTTTCTTGATTCACTGGATTGATGTTATAATGGACAAGGTCAACGCTTATTACCACAGGACTCCTCTCCTGGTAGGCTTTCAGGCACTCATATCCGCAGGCGGGGCCGTTATATATGGGTGGAAATCCACGTTGGTACAAGACCACTTGTGGAAAGAACCATGGTATATCTTTTTGGGAATCGCGGTACTGGCTGGAGTTTCAATATTAGCTCCTGCTGCGTACCTGACATTTAACTACGATAAAGACCAAGAAGCTCCACCAGTTCCTCAAAATCACGGCGTGGTGATAATAGGAGTCCACTGGCTTCTGTCCCAATTAGTTGACCACATCGAGGAAGCAGTTGTGGGGCTGTCAAACCTTGCAGATGTCTACGCAACAATATCTGTATCGTTGTTATTAGCATATTATGTTGTATTAACAAAGCTAGATCGCAGGTGTGAAGTTGTCGGAGTGTCCGAGAATCTTCTCCTCATAACAATGGCTTACTTTGATAGCCAGGTGAAAGAACTGACGCGCTTCTGGAAAATCATAAAAACCATAGTCTACTGGTCCATAATACATTACCGAGCACATAGGGTGAGTCGTCGAGAGGACGATCCCCTCCTGGAGCCACTAAACTGACTCGGACGATCCCCTCTTGTTTTACTAGTAATGAATAAATGACTTGTGAAGTTGCTCCTTCTCAAGCATGTGTGTTCTTGTGTTTTCGTACTTCATATGAATTCTGGTTTTAATATATGTAAAACTGTTATGATTGCTTTATAATATATGGGTTTTTCTATATATTACTGTGTCTGTTATGGTTCTGATTGTAAGATATTGTTGATCTCCATGTTTAGAACATAACAAGTTGCACTTGCACATACTGTCTGTGACATACAAATACAAACAATTACAAGTAACATTGCTTAAATCTATTCCGTCTCCTGTCAACGCTCCAGTAACAAAGACAACAACTGATTCCGAATTACCTCCTGGACAAATCGGACAAAGGGTACCGCTCAAAAAGCTGTCTTTAGGTTATACAAGAGAAGTCACTTAAGCGTTGACGAAGCACGTTGCCCTGAAAGCATATTATATGGGCACGATTAATCAAACCCTAGTAAAGCTTCTAACGATCTATAGAGTCTTCGCAGCTTCACTCTGAGCAACAACCCTCGTCGAAATTTCTCGATTTAAGGTAAGATTCCTTCGTGTCGGAATCGAGATTTTGATACAAACCAATCAAAGTTTCTAGCTTCGTCTGTTTTTCGACCTTCTCCATGTTTCTGTTTTGTGGGTTTTTTTAAAGAACTTATCTTTAGTTTTGATGATGGCTCTTGTATCATAGAAAGCTACTCAGGTAAACGCTCAAAAGGGTTTAAGATGAGTTTAAGTAAAGCCAAGGATTTGAGACTTCCATTGATGAATCTCATCAGACTCAAAGGAACACCAATTCTGGAACAGCTTCATTTAGAAGAGAGGCTTCTTAGAGCATCCTCTGATAATTGGTGTATTGTTAATGATGGAACCAATGTCCCCACCATTGTCATGGGAATGTCAGGGTATAGACTTGATTCCATCTCTTTTCCTCTGCCTTTGAGTTTGTTGGTTTCTCTCTGTTTACAGAAAGCCTTCTCAACTTCTTGAGCTTGGACCTGTTATAAAAGATCGAATCCCGGTGATCAAAAGATTCACGGGAGGTGGGACTGTGATTGTGGACAAGAGTATTCTCTTTGTGAGTTTGATTTGCAACAAGGATGATGTTCCAGGTGTCCAGCCTTATCCTCGTTCTGTCATGGCGTGGAGTGGTTCCTTGTATGGTGAAGTGTTTGGAGGTGTTAATGGTTTCCAACTACGTGAGAACGGTATGTGTGAAACTCTTTTTTAGATGTTCTTGTTAGGTACTCTGCCTTCTTTATTCATCCACATTGAAATGGTTTGATGTTTCCCTCTTTTAAATTTTTTCAGATTATGTTTTTGGTGACCGTAAATTTGGTGGGAATACTCATAAACTATTCAATTGTTACATGAAAAAATACAGAATAACTTAAAAGTTATAGCTAGTTGGCAAAAGCACACACATTGAAGTTTATGTGCATGTTTTAAATTATTATCCTTGACTCATTTTATTAAAACAATATATGCCATTTAGTATAATTTATATTATATATAAAGCATCTTGTTATTGTTTTTGAAGAAGTTTGTATATGTTACAAAAAGAGAAAAATATATTTTTTTTTACTTTCCATAGACTTAAAATGTATAATATAAGTAAAATGAGAAAATAACCAACTAATATCAATAAAAATATTTTAAATGAAAAATACACAAATATATATCATTTATTATTCAACTAAAACTATATGTCAACTACCGTATTAGTAACAATGTTTTTTACTCATTTCAATGATTGTTATAACAACCAAATTAGAACTAAAGTTATATGGTATAAGGGATATCTATACAACTATATATTTGCCATGGATCAAGCAGCATGTGATGAAAGAACAATATGTTAGTAGTAATTTTGATTATTCGATGTCACTAGTTGGAAACAACCAAGAGAATGATTGAAAATACACTCATGAAGAAATACACTAAGGTATCAAATTGGATGCTTTTGTAAATTAAGGTAATCCACTCAAATTAAAATATACAATGCACTAACAATATTCTAGATACCAAAATTTACCGATTATAATGACATCAAACATTTTATATAATCCAATGTATGAATATAAGGACATGAATCATGTGGAACATACATGATCAGAAATGCAAATTTTGTAAGAAAGAAAAACACACATTTCCATCTAATAAACGAACAATTAAACTAATAACTTCACTATTTTGTTTAGATTTACTAGTGAAACATGAATGACAGTTCTTACTAATTACCATCTTTTATTGACTATATATCATTTAAATATCTTCAAAAAATTGAAAGCAAGTAGCTCCACACAACCTTTCTTCTCCACCATTTTAATCAATTGGTAAAAGATTTACAATGAAAAACTTATAGACATAGATTATATATATACTTTTTTAAAAAAAGCTATATGAATAGTCACGATTTTTCAAATTATAAGTATTTTTTTTAAATGGTTCATTTACAATATATTCTAAATAGGTATATAGTTACAAAAAGATATTCTAATGCATAATGAAACACTTCTTAAAATTTAAAACATATACAAATTTAACACACTATTTCAGGATAAGAGACACATTTATTATAAACATTTCATAATGAAAAGACACATAAATATATAAGGCACTTATTCAAATATATTACTCCCTCCGTTATTTTATTTATCGTTTTAGGCTTTTACACACAAATTAAAATATATTTAATTTTACATATTTTCAAAATAAAAAAAAAAAGATGAAAATACACAACCTTTAACAATTGGTTTAGAGTCAAGTGTATATCAAAAACCGTTTTTCTCTCCCCTAACGATAACAAAGGCGATTCTTAGCATAGGCCTCTCTTCATTGATCGAGTTCGGCAGGTGTGGACTCCGACGTTGATAAAACTACTTACACCTATTTCTTTTGATATTCATCATAATCGTAGAGCATGTGATCGTAAATACATAGATGGTGATGTTCAACCGTTCGTTTCACAGTCAGGTTCCGTTGATGGGTAATTTCAAACCGTCAACAACCAATTCACATTCCTCCAAGCAATGTGTTAATTGTGGTTCAGTCATATGTGATCTCTTTGGTTTCCGTTCTTCTACTTTCTTGGTGTCGGTGCTGTGTAACCCTTATGTCTCTTTCAATAGAGTTTTTGTCTGGTGATCTTTTATTCTAGGGTGGAGTTTCTGGTTTCTTACCAGTGTTTGTTCTCTCATGCGTGTAGAGATGGTAGTTGGATATTTGATCCGGGGATTAAGAATTCTACGTTATGTGAAGGGTTAAACCTGTGATCAAGCAGTACTGCAGTGGCTTTTATAACGATGAAATTTTCTACCGAAAGAAGTGCTTAATGTATCTCACAAAGAGAGTAATGCATTTCTGGTCCTCTAAGTTCGAGATTCATAGCTTATCCAAAGTTCGTGTATCAGAACTTCAACGTAGTTGCCGCTTTTATCAGTTATGCCATCTCGTTTATAATTACAGGAACAAGTGTTTTCTTACATTTGTTTACTTTATGGATTGAACTTCCTACTGGTGACTAAAGGTGAGAAAGAGACAAATATTTGATGACATATTGAATGTTTTTTACAAAAAAAAAGGACATACGAATGGTTTTTTTGGTTCCGATGAATCAATGGAGCAAGTTTCAAGAGTCAATTGAAGCTTTTCAACCATACGATTCTATAATGTATTCTACGTAGTCTTTTATCGTGGAACAGACAGTGACTGAAACAGTGAACACACGAAGTTGAGTTTTCTCCGTCTAGAAACTGAGATAGCACGGCAGTAACGCGGACGGCTTGGGACATGACATACAAGGTTTACCACCGACGACGATTGTTGGATTCAGGAGAAATATTTGGGTTTGGTTTGTGTAAGAAAGTCAGTGTAACACTTTCTATCGAGACAATAACAGAAAAATGCGTTCCTAACAAAACAAAAAAAACTACTCAACTGTAAGGAGATGGAATATGAAACCTTTAATACAAATTTTTCTAGAGGAGAAGCCTCTTTTTACGTTTTCTGCTGTCATATTTTTTGTTTTCTTTGTGACGTTTAATTTTAAGGTTTTGCAATAGCATCTTTCATTATTTTTCCCCCTTCTCAAGTATCCGATTTCTTGGAGAGAAAATCATGCCACATATGTAATCAGAGACAAAATCTAAGTGAAAGATAAAAAAACGAATTGCAGAAGAAACAATTTGTTTGAAAAAATATATATATAGATTTGAAAAGACATAACCAATCGACGCAACCTTTCATATCAAAGAATACAACTTTTCATATTTAAAAACTAATAAATACACCTTTTAATGTAATTTTTTAAAAGATGCAACTTTTCATATCTATACTAATTTTATATAAATAATTGTAAATATTAAGTGAAAATATATAATCTTTCATACAACAAAATATGAATAAAAAGTCACAACCTTTTAACTTTTTATTGGAATTATGTATTTAGATAACTTCACAATTTTATTTAGGTTGTACAATTCTAGTTTCAAGAAATTGTAGACATACACTATATATATATATAGACTCAAAGATTTTTTTTTCAAAAATTACTACTTTTCAAATTATAATCAGTTTTTTTTAAAAAAAATGAAAAGTCACAATTTTCTACTAATACATCTTTTCGGAATAAAATATTATTTGAATAGATACATTCTTACAAATTAGCTAACTTATCAACAGACAACTATTTCAATATATAAAAATATTACTTTTTTAAAAATAAACACATCCTTTAAATAAACTAATTTTTCAAAGGACATATTGTTTCAAAATAAATTTACAAAATTTAGATTAAAACACAACCTTTCAATTTAATGGGGATTCACAACCTTTGGAATTAGTTAATTTTTAACTAACTTATGAAAATAACTAACTATTCAAAAGATGCATTGTTTCAAAATATATATATATATATTTTAAACACATATTACTTACAACCTTTCAACCATATTAAACAAAACCAATTTTCCAACACTTTTTAACTAACTTATGAAAATAACAATTTTACAATATTTTTTAACTAACTTATGAAAAGAGGCATAAGTTACAACCTCACAACCATATTAAAAAAAAACCTCTTTCACAATGTTTTATAACTAACTTATCAAAAAAAAAATTTGTTAAAATATTACTTTTAACTAATTCTAAAATGGACACATTTTTACAACATTTGAATAGATACATTCTTACAAATTAGCTAACTTATCAACAGACACACTATTTCAATATATAAAAAATATTACTTTTTTAAAAATAAACACATTCTTTCAAATAAACTAATTTTCAAAGGACATATTGTTTCAAAATAAATTTACAAAATTTAGATTAAAACACAACCTTTCAATTTAATGGGGATTCACAACCTTTGGAATTAGTTAATTTTTAACTAACTTATGAAAATAACTAACTATTCAAAAGATGCATTGTTTCAAAACATATATATATATTTTAAACACATATTACTTACAACCTTTCAACCATATTAAACAAAACCAATTTTACAACACTTCTTAACTAACTTATGAAAATAAAAATTTTACAATATTTTTTAACTAACTTATGAAAAGAGGCATTGTTTCAGAACATATATAAGTTACAACCTCACAACCATATTAAAAAAAAACCTCTTTCACAATGTTTTATAACTAACTTATCAAAAAAAAAATTGTTAAAATATTACTTTTAACTAATTCTAAAATGGACACATTGTTACAACATTTGAATAGATACATTCTTACAAATTAGCTAACTTATCAACAGACACACTATTTCAATATATAAAAAATATTACTTTTTTAAAAATAAACACATTCTTTCAAATAAACTAATTTTCAAAGGACATATTGTTTCAAAATAAATTTACAAAATTTAGATTAAAACACAACTTTTCAATTTAATGGGGATTCACAACCTTTGGAATTACTTAATTTTTAACTAACTTATGAAAATAACTAACTATTCAAAAGATGCATTGTTTCAAAACATATATATATATATATATATATATATATATATATATATATATATATATATATATATTTTAAACACATATTACTTACAACCTTTCAACCATATTAAACAAAACCAATTTTACAACACTTTTTAACTAACTTATGAAAATAA